TGGGGGTGGGGCTCTACTTATATACTGAAAATGAATTAATTGTTTGAAATCTGCTCCTTTGTATTCTTAAAACATTTATTTATTTTTTGATAGGCAATTTTAAGGGTGCCTTTTTAAAATTTGTGCAATGTGTTGACCTAGGGTCAGGGGTTTATTTCACAGTGTTAGGGGCACTACTGATTATTGTTAAATATTACTGATTAGTTGGAATGCATTTTTGTTCCCCTACCTTGCGTATGGGTATTTAGTACTCGTGCGAGGTGATCATGAATAATTCATGAATTTCAATGAATTTTCCATGAATTTTATTCACGAATCGTTCATGAAACGTTCATGAAGATCCTATGAACTTATTATTGGACATTTTCAAATCAATAAACCAAGCTAATCAACTGCTAAGTGTATTGTTATGATGATCAATGGTGCCTCTTTCAAAATTGTGAATGCCATATAGCATCTTGCTTAAAACATGAATCAAATTCAATAACTGGAAAGTTGTTGCATAATGCTCAGGTGACCTATAAGGCCCATGGGCCTCTTGTTAAGTGTAAAATGTAAAATACTTATTTACTATTGCAATGCTTTTTTGCAGGGCAGTATATGTGAGCAACGATTGGAGAGTCAACCCATGAACAAATGCTTTTGAAGGCCAAGTTTATCATCAGGGACAGGCAGCATGAACATGAAAATCCAGATTTGGTCTTCACATTTTTCTTTACAGTAAAGCAGAGACATGAATAACTTAATTAATGTCCATGGGTACTCGGCCAGAAATATATAAAAGGTATAATTTTTAATATTAAAACAAGTCTGTTAAAGCACGTTACTTTGTTAGCTCTGTTTTGTGAGACACTGTGATGTAAATGATGTTACAATGGTACTTTAATTTTTTTTTGTGCCATATCCAGAGATTTGTATTACTTTTAAGCAGTTAAACTCGCTGTGCTGTTTTGTGGTAGAAAAAATAGTAGGTGACAGATGATTGACAATATTTTGAATTCATTTAGGCAATGTTGCAGTTTGGACCAGATATTTTCGCATAGTGGATTTGTAGAAAGCAATTATTTTTTGTAATATGCAATATTTTACATGGTGCATATTGGAAATTTATGATTCAGTTACATATAAGTGATGTATGGATATATTTATTTCAAAGTGTACAAGGTAAGTTTTTTATTATTTTAAAATAAAAACATGAAAAGAATAAATATTGGTTGAGATTTCCGACAAAAAAAAGAAAGAGACTACCCTATAAAATACGTTTACCATGATTGCTGAGGACAAAAATATTTCTAGATGGTGACCAAACATTTTGATGATATAACCAAAAATAATTCTACATCACCATTTAGTAAACTTGGAGCACTGCTTATTACATAATTTTGGCAGGTCTGTTGTGCATAAATAATAATCTCCATAATTATTATCTGAGAGGGCTTTATTTTCCTAGATTTCTTATTGACATATTCTGTAATCAGTTCATATGGGTGTTCTTCATGCTGGGTATATTCATGTGTCAATTATAGAAATAACTGGTATGAAAAGCAGTGTATGAGCTAAAGCATGAGAGATAACTCTTGCTGTCTTACACAACCTAGTTTCTGAAGATCTCTATCTATTCCTCTTTGCAATTTCTGAACATAACCATACCTGCATGCTATCAAGAATTTTATATGTGTCTATTATTTTCACTATTTTTTATGAATATATATATATATATATATATATATATATATATATATATATATATATATAACAAATTTGTAGCAATTCTGCTTGATCAGAGTTTTCATAAACAGCGCCCTCTACCGAGTTTTGTTAATATCAAGGAAAATGAACTCGGTTAACAAAAAGGCATCCAACACATTTGATTTATTAATAATTAGATTAAATTAAATGAAAAAGTTAGTGAAATTTTGCAAGAAATCTTGTTATATAATACTTGTTTGAAAATCATGCTAAGATGGCAAAATATTTGTGAAAATAACTCAGAAAATTTGTTCTTATTAGTCCAGAAGATGTAAATAGGAATTAATTTCAAGTAAACAGATATATAAATCACTTTCTTTCAGAACAGTTGGATAAAATGTGTGATCATTTTAAGGAAGAGAGAGCTTAAATATGTGGAAATATGTGAAATCTGGCACAGACTTTTAAAGGTAAAGCATGATATATTTTGGTGTTGCAATGTGCTCATTTTCATGATTAAGATGGATTATTTAGTAAATTTATAGATTTCTTTTATAGAGCCTCATGAGCATGATGAATAATTTATCTTGAGGAGTTGGCTGTTGCCTCTTTCAGTCAAGCAACAAAGATTATATACCTAGTCTGTACATGGATTTCATAGACCTGATTTCAATGGTAATTATAAATACTTAATTGCATTATTGTGTTAAAATGCATTATGGTGAATTTCAAATTTTTAAAAAAAAGTGCCTTTTCTCTTCAATTTAAAGTTTTTAAAATTTTAAAAAATATTCACTTCATAATGAAAATGTACCGAACTTATTCTTCTTCCACCAAACAATTTACAGAAGAAATTCAGAGTACTGTAGGTCACTGAATTTTCGCGACACCTTATTTTCGCGAGACAGTCATTGGATCTTTATAAGCGAGACATAATTTTCACGAATTGTTGTCATTCGTCTATATAATGGTAAGGAATACTTATATATGCGAGAATTAAATTTTCGCGAGCTCATTGTCTCGCGTAATTACGCGAAAATAAAGTTCTCGCGAATAAAAAGTGATTTACAGTAATTGATTTGTCTTACAGATCAGGGCTCTCTTTTAACTGGCTGGCAGAGAAAGTTGCTGGCTCTGTCCATTTACAGAAGAAAAAGAGGAACACTAAGGTCTGATGTCTGCATGTAGATAGTCTCAGGGTACTTTAATGGACCCTTACTTGTAGTTAATGGAACAATTCTGTAGTTTAAAATTTTTTCTGTATTGATTTGGCTATGATTTTTTTTTTGTGCAGTCACCCATCTCTTTTTTTTATGCCCCCCCTTCGAAAAAGGGAGGGCATATTGCCTTGCTGCTGTCTGTCAATCGGTCTGTCAGTCCATTTAGTTTCCGTTCATTTTCTTAACAACCGTTGCACATACTGAAATGAAATTTGGTATACAGGTATATAAGATAAATATCTAGGTCACGTTCTGTTTTGGGTACGACCGCGCCATTTTTGACAGAGTTATACCCCTTGGACTTTAAAAAATTCCAATTATTTGCAGTTTCCATTCATTTTCTTCAGAGAGGTTGCACATACTGAAATGAAATTTAGTATACAGATTAATCAGATGAATATCTAGGTCAAGATCTGTTTTGGGTACGATCGCATCATTTTTGACAGAGTTATGCACCTATGGAGTTAGAAAAGTTCTAATTTGGGGAGGGGGGCATAAGTGTTTTACAAACATCTCTTGTTTAATTAGGAAAAACTATAATTTTTTTTTTATTTAGTTGTACAAATGGTATATCATGAAGCCATGTCATAAAGTGGCTCTTTGAAATTTTTTTTTTAATGTTATATTATCGTAATACTTTTATTATGGGTCAGTAAAGATTTAAGATATCATTTTTGAACATTTAAGGAAATGTAAGAACAGGGGTTACATGAATTTGTTCGTGGATTTTCTTCAATCAGTAAATAATATATACATACTCATGCAGTAATTGCATTTTTACATCTCGGTGAATGTTTGAAAATGATATTGCTTGTGTTAATGGCTGAAACATGCACAATAGACGTTAAAATTCAGAAGGTTATTTCTTTATCAAGTATCAATTTTGGTAATGTATTACCAATAGAAGCATTTTAATTGTTAATGTCTTTGATTATAAAGTTTTGTTTTCTTTTGGCAGTTATTGACTTATCAACATATGGAAAATGTCCTGTTAATTTTGTAATGATATACACATGTATGTTGAATGGAAAATGCTTGTTTATGCAAATGTAAATATTTTTTTTTAATAATTTAAAACAAATTTTCCTCCCAAATTTTATTTAGATGAAATAAGTTATTCAATGGCACAATATTTATATATTATATTATATCATATTGCATATTTCATATATTTTTTAACTTTTCACTATTACTTGTTCATGTATTAACATAATGATGGAATCTTAGATTCCATTATTATGTTAATATACTCTCTCTCTCTCTTTCTCTCTCTCTCTCTCTCATTCTTGATAATTGAAACAAACACAAAAGTGCAAGGCTTGCAGGGACATTTTAATTGTATATCTTCAAGCAATAAATTTCAGAATAGAGAGATGTTCAATACAAAAAAAATATACATTTCTACTTTAAACAATTTATCTCCTTCAGTAATGGTAGCTAATAAATCAATATAAAATGATAATATTCAAAGACATGTGGATTTTTTTTTCTAATTTAGATGCAGAACATGATATCTTGGATTCAGTAAATTTTTGTTTTGTGATCTGTTTTGAAAATCTAAAATCAATATAAAACTGAACAGAGCATAAACACAGATCCCTGGAAATTCCAGAGGTGGGATCAAGTGCCTAGGATGAGTAAGCATCCCCTGTTGATTGGTGTTTCTGCCGTGAACAGTAAGGATGATGTTTACCTAGGGTTCTAGGTAACAAAAATGACTGCTTAGTGTCTTCAATCAAAAATTTTTTTAATGCAGTAGACAGAATAACATGTGTTTTACAATATGATAAAATTATGCAACATCAAATGTAGATTTACAGTAATGTATGTGCATGAAAATCATGCTAAATTTTCTAAATTTTTTCCTCTCCAAAGTTATGCTAAAAATTCAATTTCTTTATTTAAAAAACATTTGGATAAATTTCTAAAGCCCATGTAATGTTTAAAGTAAGTGAAATTTTACAACTAGGATATGCATGTCAATTTATTAATCAGCATCAAAATTTGTTTAATGCAAACATTAAACAGCTTGTTTTGATGATGATTACATACTGAAAATAGTCTGAGAAATGCAGTTTTCTTTCAAATCTTACACCACTGCGTTTTCTTGGCAATTTGAATTAATTCAGATGTCAATAGTTAAGCATCCATTTCCTCAAGTCTCCATGGATAAGTCGTGCACAGGACGACTTTATATTTAAGTGCTATGAATAATTTATTGAGGGCAAAATTTCTAGACAGCCTATAATCATGGTGATTTTTAAAAAGGATGTGTCTCCCTTCACTTTATTTTCATCAGTCTTGGCATTATCAGAAGGGCCAAGTTATTGTCCTTACCATGGATTATGCTGTTTCTAACACTCGCTGGCATAGTTTCTGTATATGGCAATGAGTCTAATGTCACTGTGGCTACTGAGCCGTCAGTTTGTAAAGGTGGTATAGAGGCTTCAGTGCTTGTCTGGGTTTTGTTTCCTTCACTTATTCTCTTTAAGTTGCTTATCTCATTTATTTCATATTCATTTTTATTTTCAGGCAATTATACTTGAAAGTTAAACATATAAAAAAGATACTGCTTATAACTTAACGAGTTAAGCATTTACAGGAACGAAAACTTGTGTGTCCTCTATTCTCATGCATACACATTCATCATGTGAGAAAACAGAAAAAAAGATATTTGTACAAGAATAATGAAATTTAATTAACAGGGTAAGTGTCCCTAAAAATTTAATGAGGTGATTTATATTATTGCATCAACTAGCATGATTAGTGGTCACCCTTAATGGATTTTCTTTAGAAGTAGCATTTTTTGTGCTGTTGATCAATATTTATAAAAATATATACATATTACATACGAGAAAAGAATACCTTTCCAATGTATGAAATGTCTTGTATTTCTTCTGTGCTGGCTGTCTCCCCAAGTGTTTGCAACAAATCTGTCATATTATTAAAATTTATGAAGTTACTTTTGCTTCAGCTAAATTTATAATATTGTGCAGTTTTATGAGCATTAAAAAAACAACAATGAAAATGTGAATCTTCCCTCTAAAATACTTCAACCGTCTTACAAAGTGTTGAATTCTTTCAACGAGTGACTTAATTGAGATCTTAGTAACTTTGCTCATCAGTAGCCAAAATGGGTACTGCTAGAAAAATCATCATAAAATTTTATTTCTTTAATATGTTGACGGTGCGACCGTTAGAGCGAGCGCAAACTTTTTGATTTAGATCGGGCTCGTCAAACCGCACGTGACATTTAGTGCGTCTAGACTCTGACGTCACATGACGTATGTAAGTCGCAATATACCGAGAAAAAGCCTGAACAGTGCTGGAAGTTAATGAAGAACGTTTTGTTTTCTATCTTCACTATATATCCATTAAATCAAGGCGAGTAAACTTTTGTTGAGAATTTGCTCTGATTCTCACGAGAACGTAGCTAAAACAAGTGATGTATTGTGGGTCCAAATTACTGTGTCAAAAAATTCTATCGAATGAATGTGCAGAAGCCCGAATTTTCTCTTCGCACAGGCATTGCTTTAAGAGCTCACTATGTGAGCGGCGCTTTGCGCCGCCTCGCTGTGCTCGCTATTAAATTTATAAAGTAATATATCATTGAAAAGGCAATTTAATTCTCTATGAGGATATGTAAATTTCATGAACATTTATTTACAAATAAAATTTTTAGATAAAGTATTTATATATAACAAAAGAAAATACAGTTTAAGAACAATTTATTAATAAACATTCCATATTGGACATTGGGGACTGACAAGGTTTACAGTTAAACAAAAAACTTTCTGCTAAATAAGCACCGAAAGCATACATGTATGTACCCCAAGCCAGGGTGAGAAAAATTTACAGTTTGAATTTGACATATATTGCAAAAAACATGAAAAGACACACTCTGCAATGAGTGTTAGCATAATTACCCTATAACAAATGATATTCCCCTCAAGAAAACATGGGGGAAGATTGGTGAAAATTTAATTTTAATATGAATTTGATCCAAGAATGCCAAATACAAGAGTTGAAAGTTGAAAACTGTGAACAGTTGTAGCCCCCAAGTTTAAATTAAGTTTAAAAAAAATGTAATTTGCCACCACCTTTCAAAATTGCAAAAATCAAGTTTCATATAGTGCAATTAACTGAATAAACATATAAAAAGAAACTAATGAAGGTTAAGCTAAGCTAATAAACAAAGTAAGATGCAATGCAAAATATGTACATATTCACTAATTACTCACGAATTGTCAAAATTCAAGCAGAAAATTTCTTTCTACACTAAAAGTGGGTCATAGCCAATTGTTTCTGAGCTTGCTGAATGACCAATGCAGATTTGTGAATATAAGTAGTATAACAATTTGAAGACCACCTCCCTAAAGTTTTAATAAGGTGATCTTCGATTCTAGCTTCCTGTGCTGTTGTTGCCGTTCCGATTCTAAATGAATGGCCATTATAATTGTCGGGATTGAAACCCAACTAAGAAGGTATTTCAAGTTTCTCTACAAAAAAAAAGACCTGGTTAAGACAGAACCGTCTTTAGTAACAAATATTGGTGTTGGTACAAAGGTAAATGTTTTTGCTTTTAAATTCATGTATTTAAACATATCAGAAACTGGACAAACATTTGTATTTGTTTTAAACAGCTGAATTTTAACTCATTTATGGAAAGGATCAGTTTTTGATTGTTTCAGATTAATTACAATGGAGTTCTCAAAGCACATGACATTTTGTGTTGACAAACAATCGTTTATGAAACTTTTGCTTTGAACAGTAAATTCTCCACAACGTAGAAAACCAAAAAAGGCTACAGTACATGCTGCCTCTAATATAATAGGTAGGCAGTAAACATGTCAAAAATACCAGAATTAAGTACCTAGAAAATATTACAGAGAATAGAAATTGTTATTGGTAATCTTGTTCGTTTTACATATTTACATGCTTGTTTTTTCTTCACGGTACACTTATTAGAGAAAATTTTGTGGTTTTTGTGGAACCGCTCTGGCCAAATATTTGCTTTCTCTATAATATGGGCCAGGTAAGAAT